GAAGAAGAAGAAGAAGAAGAAGAAGAAGAAGAAGAAGAAGAAGAAGAAGAAGAAGAAGAAGAAGAAGAAGAAGAAGAAGAAACTAGGTGCCACATCCAGCCCAGATCTAAGCCATATTAATCTGATACAAACGTTGTATCACTTGTTGGAGGTCAAATGGGGTTAAAGTGTGCATATTGTCTGTTCTTACTGAAAGGCCTTATCGTCTGTCTGCCTCACACTGTGCCCTGGCTGAACTGACGACCTACTTCTTTGGTGAAAACCTTTTAATGTAATTGCAGATAGCCTAAATACYTAAGTTTGAGAAGATTTAGACACAGAAAATGAGACACTTGTAACTTATCTGACAACAACATGAGAAAGTCCTTTTTTATAGCAGGTCAGTTTTTTTGAGTTATTTGAAACGTTACATGAAGTCACTTTCAAATCTGAAAACAAATCTATCTGACTGTCAAAGGAAAAAAATAAAGAATGACGTGTACTTTTCAGTTTGGGAATTCTAAAGATGTGTTTAATTGTTGGGTAAATCTTATTATATTTGCCACAATGAATGTTTATGACTGAGCCCACAAAGGTGAGTTTTCATTTATTTGGTTTTTATCATTTTTGACTATTTTAATGGTTTTATTATATATCTACTGTGTTCTCTTTTATGGAAGCAATTGTGTTCCATAATCCTAATTAAAATGGATTAATAGAATACTCTCTAACCTTTTGAACCACCTGGTTGTTTTAATAGGGAGGAAAAATAACACAAATCTGATTTTCATATTGRGAAGCATGTGGAAAATAAACTGGTACTTACATCTGAAACTCTGACATTTACAGCATCGTTTCCAGTGTTCAATTCTCCAGGTTTCAGAAGAAAGAAAAGCCAAACTCTCCGAGCAAAATCCATGTCTTCATTTCAAAACTGACTTCACTTCTTCATTGTGAACCCCAAACTCCAATTTAAGAATCCAAACTTGAGCGCACAAACCTAAACAAACACCAGCAGTGAGATCACCCTTTATTGGACGTGTTTAAAGTTGTTTGATTCCTTCCGTGCAGCTCAGGAGGCTCTGCTGAATTCATRCCCCCCAAAATTAAAAATAAATAAGCAAAGTTTCCGAGCTGCGGAGAGCGCAGAGGATGCTGKGCTGTTTTCAGCAGCAGTGCGCAGCGGCCACATGCAGAGGCGCACCTCGGTTTGCCCTTGAGCAGGAGAGCATGAGGGAGGGAGGATTGCAGCTGGACCCAAGAGGATTACAGCTCCTCTGAGCGCCTCATGTCACATTCTAACATGGCTTATTGATATGGACCATGAGTGTTGGCACCACTGGATCCCATCACCAAACACTGGGACATTCAGAGTCGCAGAGCCTAGACTCAGATGAAGTTCACCCTAGGCTTTGCGGTCAAGATATTCTGGTTACATGTCCACATATAGGCCACAATAGGCTGCTTTCATTTAATCCCATCTAATCCCATCGTTTTTGATACTTTTCATATAAACATGCAAATAGGCCTGGCTATCAGCATGGCCATTTTGACTATAGCTGCAAGTCTTTTTTGTTTTAATTTTTTTTTACACAAAGCTGTTAAAACTATTTATTTTGCAAAGCAAAATCTGCATCATGCTCTAAAGATGGATTCATTGTCACGTCCCTAAAATAATAAAATCCTATGAAGTCCATTAAATTTATTTATTTATTTATTTATTTATTTATTTATTTATTTATTTATTTATTTATTTATAAATGTGTTTCAGAGAGCAGGGCACTAATGTGAAATGTGCGTGTGAGTTTCGGTGTTGAGGCTTTGGATTAATTTTGTACACTCTCAGTCCTCGCATCTAGGATACAGTGCGCCCTCTAGTGGACGTTAATAAACTTGACTATTTTTAAAAGTTGGTATTTTAGGAAACAAGTCATGGCTGGTCTGAAACTCAGCTTTCAGTTCGACCCCAGAGGTAGCATTGAGTATTTACCAATGAGGTATATCACATCATAGTATATATATATATATATATATATATATATATATATATACATCATTGGTGTTTGCTATGTTTTCTGGCAGCACTGARTTTATCTTTAAACTAACTCGATTCTGTAGCCTGATTTAACTATCAGAGTGAAGGGTTTTAACCATTATTAAATCCGTCTGCTATTTGTGTCTAGCTTTGCTAAAACTCCTTTGAACTTTGCAAACTAWTTTTTAAAAATGTGGACACTGATGATTGAACCACATTACCCAGAAAGCTCAGGTGCATGTGTTTTCTTTTTGTCCGGATGTAGCATCACATGAAGTGACTGTCAACATGCAAGATGGCTACGCATCACAGGCAAAATGCAGCTGGGCGGAGAAAAGTACAGGTAAATTACGCGAGCTGTGCGGCCGCTCTTTATGTGTTGATGGTCACATCGGGGTCTTCGTCTGAAAGAAGCGAAACGCTGATAGTAGAATGGCCACAAAGCACACATGAAAAAGTAGCGTTGCGGGTATGACTCATGGCTCAAGCCGGCTAACATAGCTAGCTTAGCTTACGTTGGGAGTAGCTGCTGTGGCTAACGAGTGCGGCTAAAATGACAACTTGTTTTGTTAAACGCCGTCACGTCGTTACMTGTTGCATAAAGTCTAAAATAGTGTTTTCACTTGTTAGCGCTAGTAATAGAAATGCCGCGGTTGAACCGTGAGCTTATTGACAGTACGGTGTTGACAGTAGCTAAGCTACACTGTATCTAGGCTCCGTCTAATTGCTGGTGTGTGTGTGTGTTTTGTGCACCCTGTGATAATTGTTCCAAAATAACATATGCTGAAGATGTACACTTGCCCGTTTCTTAACTTAGCCGTGTTGGCTTATTTTTTTTATTTAATTTTTATTCTCTTTTGTGTGAATTAGCTGAGCTTTAGCTTTGTGTTGTCTAAGTGGACGAGTTTAGTTGCAGCTTCGAAAGGGTTGTGATTTAAACCAAAAGCTGACAATGTTGGACTCCGACCCCTCACCTCTTTGTGTTACAGGTCTCCTACGTTATTAGAGACGAGGTGGAAAAGTATAATCGGAATGGGGTGAACGCCCTCCAGCTTGACCCTGCTTTGAACCGGCTCTTCACAGCAGGAAGAGACTCTATCATCCGGATATGGAGTGTTTATCAGCACAAAGTAAAGTTTACGACCCTCTTAAACTTCATTATTATGTTTATAGTTAGAAGCTGTTTGCATGCATCACTCTTTTTTTTTTTTAACGAAACTGCTCTAATTTCACGTATTTGTCATTTGCAGCAGGATCCATACATTGCATCTATGGAGCATCATACAGACTGGGTTAATGATATAGTTCTCTGTTGCAATGGGAAAACATGTGAGTTTTAACTATCCAGGGATTGTGCAGTTAGCCATCGGTTGTTTCTTCTCTTCTGATTGGCATCCTTGTCTTGTAGTGATATCGGCCTCATCAGATACAACAGTCAAAGTATGGAACGCACATAAAGGCTTTTGCATGTCGACGTTACGGACGCACAAAGACTACGTAAAAGCTCTGGCATATGCCAAGGACAAGGAGCTTGTGGCATCAGCTGGTCTGGACAGGCAGATCTTTCTTTGGGATGTGAACACACTAACAGCCCTAACAGCTTCCAACAACACTGTCACCAGTGAGTAAAGATTTTGTTCTGTTGTTCGGCCCATTACGGACATCCAGACCCCGATGCTTTGATTTTTCTAAAGTGTTTCTTTGGAAGCGTATTTGTAGTTCACGTTTAAAACAATTTGTCTCCCAATAGCTTCATCACTGAGTGGAAACAAGGACTCGATCTATAGTCTGGCCATGAACCAGATGGGTACAGTTATTGTTTCTGGATCTACTGAAAAGGTTTGCGCTTTCATTGTTTCTCCTGATTTGAAGTGTATTTTTAGGATGAAACTTGCCACCGTAGGGAGTACGCTTAAAGAAATGATACAAGTTGAAATCTTTGGAAGTTTTAGGTTTTCGTTTTTCCAACTACTTGATTACTTTGTTTGTTTACACTAAACAAAACCTACAAAACTTATTCATTTGTTTTGTTTTTATTAGGTTTTGAGAGTGTGGGATCCTCGAACATGTGCAAAACTAATGAAGCTAAAAGGTCACACAGACAACGTCAAGTCTTTGCTGCTGAATCGAGACGGCACTCAGGTAACCTACAGAAACATCTCAGAAACACGACACCCGCTGAACAGAAAAAGATTTAAATTTTTACTTTGTTGTTTCCTTTCCCGCAGTGCCTGTCAGGCAGCTCGGATGGGACCATTCGCTTGTGGTCACTAGGCCAGCAGAGGTGTATTGCRACCTACCGGGTGCATGACGAAGGGGTGTGGGCCTTGCAGGTCAATGAGGCTTTTACACACGTGTATTCTGGAGGCAGAGACAAAAAGATTTACTGTACTGACCTGCGTAACCCAGACATCCGAGTGCTCATCTGTGAAGAGAAGGCCCCAGTGCTCAAAGTAAGACATCAGTATGTTTTTTTCTAATTTTATGCTTTGGTTTTCTGTTTTATTATACCAAAAACATTAGAAAATAAATATATTTTTCATCTTATATGCTTTCTTTGTCATTCTTGTGCTTTTAACTTCTTGTCCAAAGTCACAGAATCTTTATGTTTTGCTCAGATGGAACTGGACAGATCTGCTGACCCACCTCCATCAATCTGGGTTTCTACCACCAAGTCATCTGTTAATAAATGGGTAAGCATGCGTAATAACTCTGAGAATACTGGTCAGCTGCCAACATGAAATTCTGGAAGCATGTTTATGCCTGGTGATTTTTTTTTATAGCTGTAACACTTTTTCAATTTCTGTAAAAAAAATGTTTTTACTATTTTTGCTGTGGGTAAAATGAATTAAATGTGTCACAACTATAGCTGTAAGACAGAGTCAGGGAGTGTTTACTTTTTAAACCAGCGTGAGTTTAAATGATTCAAATTGTCTATGCAGGTATGTGCATTTTATTTACTTATAATGTTTTACTCATCTATGAATTGATACTTTATCATGGTGGAAGAGTTTGTGTGTCTGAATGAACCATATTCCACACCTTTGTTGTAGAGGTGGCTGCCCTGAGCTGTATTAACACGATTGTTGGTGCCGTTTGTGGCGGTCATCCTTGAACCCATTGGTGAATGAGGCCGTCAAGCTGAAGTAGAAATTCTGTTGAGCCTTGTGACAGAGGTGTCAGAAGTATTCACATTCATTACATAAGTAGAAGTATAGATACTAGGGTTTAAAAATACTTTTTTGGAAGTAGAAGTATCAACTCAAGCTTTTTACTAAAGTAAAATTATAAAAMTACTGGTTTTAAAACTACTTAAAATATAAAAGTAAAAGTAATGAACACTTAAAAAAAGAAAAGTTTGCAATTAACTGACTAGACTAGTTGTTTCAGCCTCGATCATCTTCATTCTAGGCTCCATCTGCTGCAGTCTGTCCTGCTGGAATGTGATGTGATTTGTGTCATACAGGTGTGATGGAGTGAATTCAGTCTAATAGGATGTCAGGATGGTTTATATTTACACTTGTCATCCAACCACAATCAAATTCACTCTATCCAAGGGCTCCATGTATATGGATAGATTTCTATTCATTAATTTTTTTTCTGAACAATGAAAAGATCAAAAACAAGTCAAAGTTAAATAGAGAAGTGAAAAACTTTTTTGCCTTTTTAAAAAGTAACAAGTAGCAAGTACAAATAATTGAATTAAAATGTAAGGAGTAGAAGTAAAAAGTAGGCTGAAAAATAATTACTCCACTAAAGTATAAATAACCACAGTTTCTACTTAAGTAAAGTAACAAAGTATTTGTACTTAGTTACTTGACACCTCTGTTGACTGATAAGCTTCCAGAGACAAATCAATGGGAAGCAGTGGTTCACCTACACTGTATAGTGAAGGTAGGGTGCTGTTGACCTCAGCCAGTGATGTTGCCTCGCCATGTCTTCCATGGAGGAAGCTGAGTCTGAGGACTCTGGTGTGGGTCCGTCTATAACTAGTGCTGAGGTCACAGAAGCTCTGCAGCAYCAGTGATCTGCTGGTAGACATCTTGATGTTGCTGGGCTGTCTTAGRTGACACACCTTTGCAACATCTTTTGGACATCAAGCCTCTGTTAAGGTCTATTAAGTGGTGCTGGAGAGGAGAGTCCGTTGATAGTAGAACCTCAGATTCAGAAGGAACAACGCAGGTTCCATCCCATCTGTGGAACACTGAATCAACCAGGAAGTAGACGGGGTCCTGTTTGTGACTTCTGGATTTCATCTCTGCTATTTGCAGATGATGTGGTTCTGTTGGCATCGTCGCGTCATAATCTGTAGTTCTCACTGAACCAATTACAGACAAGTATGAAGCAGCTGGGATGAAGATCAGCACCTCCTACTCTAAAGCCATGGAATGCAGTGAAAGGTAGACTTCCCTGTTTGTGATGGGAGGGAAGTGCTGCCTCAAGTTAAACAGTGTAAATATCTCAGGGTTTTGTTCACAAGTGAGAGACAAAAGGATTGGAAAATTGACCAACGGATTGTTGTGGCTTCTGCAGCGTTATGTACGAGGGGTGCAAATCACCAGTTTTATCACAATACAATATTACATCGACATGTTTGGATGACGATTTGATATTTCTATATCACAAAGTCTGTCACAATATGATTTTGATTAAATTCAATTCATGTCAACGATCAATACAGTATAATGCGATATCATATGCCCATCTAAGGCTACGTTCACACTGCAGGTTTAATGCTCATTTCCGATTTTTTGAAAAAATCTGATCTTTTTGTGTGAACGTTCACATTACATTTTAAATGTGACCTGCA